GCCGGAAGCGCTCGATTCATTGTTCACATCGTTAAACAGTAGTGCAAGATTGCGCCTGCGTGATGGCAAATCTAGTACAGAATAATCACGTATCATACAAGATTAAGCAGAGTCATTAACGTGTACATACAAAATATACCTTCATGGGTGTTCTCGCACTCAATATCATCTGCGTCGTCTTCTTCTGCATACGTCGTATCGTGCGAGGACACACCCAGAATGATCTCAGGTGTAGCTTTACGAGATGTTCGGTGGGGGCTCGACGGTGGTGCACTAGTGGGTAAGCTTTCCACATCACTCAAAGCTGTACCAAAACGATCAATACATCTTTAGCCGACAGCAAACCTGTATCATACAACGTTACAAACACAAATCTTCCGTTCTGGACGCTGCAGCTTTAGGCGCTGCCGAGGAGGCCTCGTCACTCACCGTGCTGCTGCACACTGTTATCGTAGAGATCGCTTTCGGCTTACTTGTCGCTTTGGCTGCCTGCTTCTTCGTCTTGGCGGGGCGTGCTGCAGATTGCTTCGCTTCCGCCGATTTCGCCGCTGCAAGCTCAGCTGCACACAACAGAGGGTAAAAAAGAGTCGCAACCTTACCAAGCACGCACACATACCGAGATCGACTTCATCAAGGTAGGCCATTAACTCGATCTCTCCTACGAAGAAGTCCACGCCGCGGACGTCTTTCTTCGTATTTCCAGGTTTCAGGTAGGTGAAATCGACTGACAGACCAGTGGGCCGCTTCGTAGTCCATCCTGCTTTCTTCAGTTCTCGCCATCGCGCTTGAAAGGCCATTTTCGATCGGGACTCGGGGGGTCTGCGTGTCAGCCGGCGAATCTGGAAGTGATAGAAGATCAGTGGTTGTCGGCATTTCGTCGTCCAAAACGTATATGCGATACGTTGGCACAGCTGTTGCCTTTGAAATATGATGCTGATACTGACTTGTCCATGTACCACCGTGGTATTTCTTGGATACACTCCCTACCCCTTGGTGATTTGAAGTTTGTATCGTCCAATACAAAAATCAAGGTTAATTTTTGTTAACTTGTATGGTTCAAGTTAAGCCTTTGCTCTTATCTTGTAAGGTCCAACGCTCCCGGGTTCAAGGGGTTTACCCTTTCGTGGTCAATGGGGGCATTTTGCCCCCTTTGGAGGGCGTATCTTTGAGTACCACTCGTGTCACCCACGAATGGGGGCAAAATGCCCCCCTTTCATTATTTTTTGTGTGTTGGACGAGGCGGATTCGCCCTCTCTACTTGAACTACAACGATTTGCAGAAGATTTGCTGTAGTACCGTAGTTTATGAAAGGGAGCAAAAATGCCCCCTTTGATGTCCTAATGACTTGACCTTCTATACTAGAATATAGCCAGGTCAAAAGTACCCGTTCGCGAAAGGGTTAATAACTTTGAGCCTGGTTCTTGGGCTGTAAGTTTTTTTTGGATAAGGAAATTAGATTAGGAACTCATTGAGTCACACGTCTCCCTCTGACGCTTAGCTACGGCAGCCCCGATGCAGAAATAAATTCTGTCTCATGTCGTATTTGCAATAATCCAACCCTAACGGGGGTTTATCAACTGGTACAGGATCTTCTATCCAGCATTAGACTCATGCCATCATTTACTGCATCTGAATTGCAGGAAGAAACGCCGCCACATACTCTGTCTCGATCTCTGGCAGTGGTATACCTGCTTTGCTCGTTGCTGAAGAAACTCGCTCCTTTTCTTTGTGCGCTTACGTGATACCTCCTCCTCTTTGAGGAGCTTGCGCGTCAGAATTTTCCCTCCCGTTTTCTTATTCTTCTTCTTAAACTCTCGTCGCACGATATCTGATACGTGAAGCCAAACAGCGTGACGCTACAGCGGAGGCAACCCGTTGCGCTCGACGCTCGCCAGCTTGCGTGCATATTCACGCGAGAAATTGGGAAAATTCTACAACTCTTAACTCCTGTCGTAAGATTGCTCCCTGGACAGGCAAAATTCCAAACCAGCGCCGCGACACCTAGGGCCGGTTCGTTGGCGAGGCTTCTTTCAACAGAACTCGGTAATAGCTTGTCTAATGTGGTGGAGCGGTCCTCACAAAACCTCGTTAGCGGGGATAACACATCACGCACTTATGCCAGGGACTTGTCGACAACGGAGTGGGTACTTCGATAACCGTGAGGTTCTGTGGGTTCACCTTGTGTTCCAGTCGACTTGGGTGGTTGCACTCTTCTGGTGGACTCGAAGGAAAGTGTGGCCTTTGGTTGGTTTCGTCTTGGTGGAACTCATGACGGTGGGGATGGTGTGGCGAAGTGGTTCTGCGAAAATTGCTGATCGCTGAGGTCCTCTTGCACACTGCGCCCGAACTGCCGACTAACGGAGGGGGTACTCCGATCTTCCGTGAAGTTGTAATGCTCACCTTGTGTACCCGTCGGTGGGCCGATTCGCTCTTCGGGTG